ATGAGGTGGGGGACCACCTGCAGCGATTTTAGTCGCTCTCTCTATCTCGCGCGCGGTCGCGATCTTGGTCGTGGCTTCCTCTCTCTCTCTCTCTCTCTCTCTCTCTCTCTCTCTCTCTCTCTCTCGTGCGCGCTTTCGTCGGTGGCTTCCTCCTCTTGCACGATCATTACTTTTGCGCGATTGGGTGTGCGCTCTTGCCTGGGCCCGCGAAATATGTAAGTCTTGTGGCTCTAAAGAACTTCCTTACTGAAGGGAAGTGGTCCGGAACGAGGCCCACCCGAATCTCGAGGGTTTTTTGCCCAACACCGTTCGCTGGTGCCCTCGAGTTTCTTAAATCACGATCCTGCCGTGACCAGGTTTTGGGGTTTAGCAACGGGCGGGAAGAGCTCAAAGGGCTCAAGTGCAGCCGAGCCAAACCTAACCGTTTTTTCTTCTTTTTTTCCCTAAAAAGAGGACGGCCCTTGAGATATCATCCTTGAGCTGACCGGGCCCAAGCAATTTAGAAAAATTTGGTTTTACTCTTCAGGTACCTTCATTTGGTTTGAACTTGGGTCTGTATTTCAACAGTTCCTGGGTATACCCACTGAGCAAGGCTCTCGGGTAACCTACCTGTTTTCCAAGTCACCTCTCCGGGCACACTTGAGCTGCACTTGAAAACGGCGGTGTAGGTACATGTACAACGCCCGATTCTTGTTTTCTCTTTCCCCTTTTCTTTTATCCATTTTCTACCGCGGTTGTCTAGTTGAACCTCCGGTGAGTTGTTGCAGCACCATTCCCGCTCATTTCAAGGGGGACTGGAGAGTTGAGTGGAACGAAACGTGGCTGAGGTTTTTTTTCATGTCGGTCGGAACTTGAGTGTACACTCGAGTTTGAAGCGAAGTGAAGTGCTGTGGAACGAGGCCCGTTGCCCTTCCTCCTCTCTCTTGCGCGCGCTGCTTCTAGCGGAGCCAAAATTTCCCGCCTCTCTCTCGATTGTTCGGATTTGATGAAGATAAAAATACAGGATTATAAATTTTAACTTCAACTGAAGAACTGTGGTCCATTTTTCGAATTCGATGAAGATAAATTTATAGGACTAAGACTACGTTACCACTCACAAATCTGCTTTGTGTGTTCTCTCTCTCTCTCTCTCTCTCTCTCTCTCTCTCTCTCGATTGTTCGGATTTGATGAAGATAAATTTACAGGATTATAAATTTTAACTTCAACTAAAGAATTGTGGCCCATTTTTCGAATTCGATGAAGATAAATTTATAGGAGTAAGACTACGTTACCACTCACAAATCTGCTTGTGTGTTCTCTCTCTCTCTCTCTCTCTCTCTCTCTCTCTCTCTCTCTCTCTCTCTCTCTCCTTTTCTCTCTCTCTCTCCCGATTGTTCGGATTTGATGAATATAAGTTTACAGGATTACAAATTTTAACTTAAAATGAAGAATTTTGGCCCATTTTTTGAATTCGATGAAGATAAATTTATAGGACTACAAATCTTAACTTCAATGGAAAAAGTGTGGTTCATTTTTCGGATCCGGTGAGGAGACATTTATAGAACTTCAAATCTTAAYTCCAACTGAAAAAGTCTTGCCCATTTTTCGGATTCGGGAAAAAGATATTTATAGGACTAGAACTGAAAAATTCGTAGCTGTTTGTCGGATTCGTGGAATGAAAATTTGTAGGACTATAAATTTTAACTTCAAGTGGAAAATTCGTAGCTCTGTCGGATTCGTGGAATAGAAATTTATAGGAATATAAATTTTAACTTCAACTGAAGAAGTTCTGGCTTTTTTTTGGATTCGGGAAAAAGATATTTATAGGACTATAAATTTTAACTTCAACTGAAGAAGTCCTGGCGCTTTTTCGGATTCGTGGTAGAGACATTTATAGGACTATAAATTTGAACTTCAATTGAAGAAGTCCTGTTTTTTTTCCGAGTTCACACTTACATGATTATAAAGAGGTTTTCGCACAACATAAAAGTCGGCCTCGACAAACACGAACTTAAAGGAGAGTGAAACGAGCTTGTGGAAGACCTTCGAAACTGGTTCTCTACACAAATGTATTTATAGAACTATAAGTCTATCACGACATGCTGTTGAGAGCCGCACCTCGTTTTAGGCCCGAGGTCGTTTTGCGTCCAGTTGAAAAAAAATGGTTTGAAAGACCCAAGGCATTGCCACTGCACATGATTTTGAGAGCCATTGGTCTTTCAAACCATTTTTTTTCGAGTGTTTTTCCTGGTCATCCCACTGCTCCCGAAATTTGGTCTCTTAGAGAGGCCCGAAAATCAGCATTTGTAAAACTTAAAAAATATTTGTGCAAACCTACGAATTTGTTTTGTTAGGTTTTCATGAATATTCTGTTTACAACTATTATTATTGTGTTTAATCCCGGCTATAATGTGACAGGGGTGATGAGGTGATCTTCAGGGAAGGAGGCTATAATGGATTTATCAAGGTTTGATTGAGGGTGACGAAATACGTACTTGGTTCATGAAGAGAGATCGGTTGTTGTGTTGACAGTCATGTACATTAGTCGTCGAGAGTCCAAGTGAGCCTGTTGCGTGAACCGACTGTAGGTAGGATAATTGGGTAGAGTAGGCTGGGGGCCGGGGGCCAGACAGAGAGGAACAACCTTGGATGTTGTGTTTGTGTGGCTTATGGGCTTGAACAATGGCTCATTACTTCACTGTATTGCTCTATATGGATGGTTTCTCGGTGCATCTGTACTCTCTGCTTGGACACAATTACTTGGGACATCTGTGTGATTTTGCAATTTGTTTTTTTTATGTGGATCGTTCACACTCGTATTCCATGCATATTATTATCATTATTATTACTATTATTATTATACTATTATTATTATTATTATTATTATTATTATTATTATTATTATTATTATTATTATGATACTATTATCGTGTTCTAATCGTAGCAATAATATGTGGTTGCCAGAGCAGAGAAGAGAAACATGGGAGGGGATAGGGGAGAAAGCAAGTTCGTGATGCCCTCATATGTTCTGGGCCGCACACACGCCACACTGATTGATCCAACGAATCACTTGCAATAGGGTCCGAAGGCTTAGAAAACCTTCTTAAGGTTCATTGCAACGGGGACGGATTGTTGTAGAGTTTGATCTTGGATAAGGAATGCTTGGTAAGCGCAAGTCGTCAACGCACGCTGATTACGTCCCTGCCATTGGTACACACCTCCCGCTGCTCCTACCGGTAGGATGGTCTAGTGAAGAGCACAGATCACGGTGATGTCTGCCTGCCTCGTCTCCGGCATTCACTATGCATTCGGCTGTTGAAGGTTGGAGCGTTGCTCGAGTACTATCGCTTGACACAGACAAACAGGAGAGGCAAACAGACGTACATATATACAGACAGGCAGATACAGGCAAACGGACTGACAGTCACAGACAACAACAGACAGACGAACAAAGAGATAGACAATCAGACAATCCATGACAGACAAAACAGAAAGAGACAGACAAACACATACACAGAAAGAAACAGATGGACAAACCTACACAGGGAAAGAGACAGATAAACAAACAAGAGAGAGAGAAAGAGAGGACGACTTTGGATACTTTGTTGGTGTGGCCTACGAGCTTGAACATTTGGCTCATTACCTCATTGTGTTGCTCTATATGGAAGGTTTCTCAGTGCTTTTGCACTCTCTGCTTGGACACGAGTACTCAGACATCTGTGTGAATTCGCCACTTGGTTTTTTGTATATCATCCACACGCGTATTCAATGCAGTTATTATTATTATTATTATTATTATTATTATTATTATTATTATTTGCAATCACACACGCTTCCTTCTTACTCACACATGGTATCTGTGTGGGGAAAACAAGGTTGTGAGTGAGGCGAGAGACATACCGGGTGGTGGAAGCGTGCGACATTGGTCGCTGTATGCTCGTACTTCGGAAGGCTGTTGATGTTAACATTCGCCAATATAGTCTAGGATAGATAGGATCTGACATCTGCAGAGCGTCAGATAGGATATCAACATTGGTTCTTCGTCAATAATGATGATGAGACTTTACCAGCATTGTCAATTTTTGGGCTCTTGGTGACTTCTTATTTGGTGAAACTCATAATGCAATTTTCTTGTTTGGTTCAAGGTCACGACTAGCTGGTCACATGTGTTCGATGCTGTTTGATTTCTGAAATTCGACATTGCCCGTTTTCTTTGCTTTTATTATTTTCTTATTTTTATTCTTATTATATTATTATTGTTATTGTTTTTCTGCGTTCAAACTCGCTTTATTTCTCACTTCACAGGTATGCGGATAGGCGACGCGCCAAACTGGTGACAGGTGCCAAACACAAAATTCCGAGATATGGCAG